CCACCCCTTCCCCCTCTCCACCCCCGCCCCTGCGCGCCGGGGACCGCGGAAACGACGGTGGCTGGTCGTTGCTCCACCTCGCGACGGACGCCGCACGGGTGCTCGCCGGGGAGTTCCTTGCGTCTCGTGAGAGTCTATTGATCGGAATTGGATGCGTTTTGACTATCGTATTGCAATTTACAGAATTGGCAAATGTATGTTGTGTTTATTAAAGGACGTTTGAAGATTTGGATTTTATAACATGATGATAATGATTTAAATAACTGAAATATTGCATTGAAACTGTTCTCAGTGCAAGTCTCAAGACATACACTTGTTTATATAGTTACACATTTGTTTATGGAAATAAACAGATCTTTATAATTTTTTACTTAATTTCTATTACAGAGCTACATTTTTATTTATTTAAAGTTCACACGGCCTTCGACTGCAAAAAACTTAAAAAATTAAGACAATGAAATAAATTCAACACCTAAAAATAATACGTGAAAGTTGACTGATAATAGGTTATAAAACTAATATTACTATCCATCACAACTAGTTATCGATGGTTAATAATTAATTCCAAGAAACTAAAATGTATATGATCTCTTGGAAACAAGATGAGAATAAATGTTCTTGTTATTATTATTATTTTTATTATTATTATTATTAATGTATAATTCAAATCACCTTGTTATTTTTAGTATACAACAATTCTCTTAGTCCAGTAGACACTTAATTACAGTATTGAAATAGGGCAAATATATATTGTTAACGAACAGATTAATATCTGACACACAGAATAGGGTGGTGTGTTAAGGTTACTTATCTTAACGAGTAGTTTGAATGACTTGAAACGGGTTGGAGTTTGTTGGTGATTCCGCTGAAGATCCCTTCACAATACTGACTGAAAATATTTTGTGATATTTTGATAAGACTATTAATAATCGAAATATGTTAAATATCATAAACAGAACTATTTTTGTTCAAGAATAAATTATTACACCTGCTATGTACTTTGTGGTGTACTATGCGCGAGCACCTACAGTTTATAATAGCTACGTGGAATGAATCTCTTACTTGAGTTACCGAAACAAACGAATGAAATTACCTTGTCACGGAACCTGATTTGAAATTGTTCTAAAACAGAAAATACTAGTTTTTGATTAGTCGCCTTGGGCTCCAAAGTAACAGAGAAAGAGACTATCAGATGAAAATAAATCAGTAGAATATAACAATCATATTTAATCCCACGATTGCCCGGTATATTGTAGCTGTGAGTAGTAACTTTCCTTGGAGCTGTCATGGAAGTGGAATAATGAAAATCTACAAACTATATGGGACGTTAACTTTCAGTTCTCATTTCAGGCATGTAGTTGTTTCCAGTTATTGTCTCATAAGAAGCCATTGAGGAATATTATTACCAACGCTAAGTACTAACATGTCAAACTGGTTCCGTGTCTTTGATGTAAGGCTTTGTGAAAGATTTATTTTACGTTGCCATAATCATGAAGACAAAATCAGGTTTATTCTTCTTTATGAAACGTCTTCTATAAAGGATCCCTTATTATCTCAAAGTAGTTTTCTTTGTCAGCTACTTGTGCAATAGTGATGACAGATCAAGGGCATTTTCATTCCTAGAATTGAATTTAAATACGTATGGATCTTATCTTCTCTGTATTAACACTAATATTACTTAATGTGTCTAGAATTTTGAAAGATATACGTTGTGTAAATTCAGTGTAAATTCCTATACGAAATAAAAACACTTGAATTTATCGATTCAACTTTTTTGGAAATATTAAAGAAATAAAAACATTAAGAAAAGAGGCGTTTGATAATGTTAATAAGTTAATATAGGTACCTTTTAGATCACTTTATAATATATTTGAAAATTTCAACTTATTATTTCCATACGCTAATAATTATGATACACTTTTCTTTCACTTTGAAAATGAACTTGCTTTACAAATTCGTTTTACAACCCTTTGGAAATAGACCAATTAACAGTGAAATTTAAATATTAAATGAGATCTAGTTTTACAATATACCGAATTCGAAGGACCATACAAACACAGAATTAACTAATTTGAATTTTAAAAAATAATTTTAGTAAATATAGCAATATAAAGCCTACTTGTTCTTCATTTTAGATTATGAATGAAATTGAAAATTTATGATTTAATTATTATTATACGTGCAGAATTTGTATAGTATATTTATTTATATTGGTCGCAGATGTGGCACGTTGTGTAAAGAAGAAAGAATAAAACAGGTAGAGGAAATTATTAAATTATTTAAAAAATTCTTCATGGTTATTTATCACAAAGGGTGCACTATGCACCTTCTTCCATTCTCTCCCAGCAGTGACGGTGACAGGAAAATGTCTCATCTGTCAGTAGTGTTTTCGTTTTGCGATTTTCTTATCCAAGTTCCAGTTAAGATTCATAAACTAAAGTTGCCACTTCCAATGGCTTATAATAATTGAAAAGTCGGTAAAATGCACTACGAACATATTGATTGTTCCGAACTCCTTTCGTCTGTAATTAGGAAAAGAAGAGAACTTTAATACTTTTTTATCTCTTAACCTTTTTGTCTGTAAAAATTGGACCCCAAAGGATTGGAATTAAGATTGAATTTCAGATTTTACAGTTTATCATAATGTCATATCATAAATCAATGAACGATTTTAATAAATTGTTTACGGATTTTCACTTATCGTTAGTATGGACTGACTAGAGGACTTCTAATTGCCCCAAAGAGACAAGAAAAATCTGTTCTAAACAATATACTTCTGGTCGTGAAATCTTGCATTCATAGCTTTTCACAATTTCTTCTTTTAAAAAAATTCAATATTGGGTTCTAGCTAGACCCGGAAATACATTTTAAATATACACACAATATTTTGAAATGTATTATATTTACACACAATATTCTAAAACGTACACACAATATTTTGAAATGTAGCGGAATTCTCATATGTGATTCGTCGATAATAAACAATAAATTAATGTTGCACGACTTTGAGATTAACTAACATTATCGAATCCTACTCGAGCCTAATTTCTTTAACCAGATTTTAAACTAGGCATTATAATAATATATTATACACTATATATTATATTTTAATATAATGTATTGCGTATAGTATAAAATAACTAGTATACAATATTTGAGACGACAATAAACAACGAATGGTATTTTTCCCAACACCGTTAATGGGTTGCTTTTATTCATCTTCAATCTATTCGTTAGTGACCTTCTGTTGATTTCAGGCGCTGTATTTAAAAAATATTTATTAATGAACGAATGTACATAGTTCAGTATTATGTAAGCTACACCATATGTATTCTCTGTCTTATGCTAGCTTCATTTCTCACATCGGAAATGGCCTAATAGTTGTCTCTGAATGATAGCGAAGCATTAAAGAATGTAATATTAATAGAAAAAATAGTGTGTTCTCTTGTCAACAATAAACGGAATTACTGACTGTAACAATTTCGACAATTTTCATTTGTCTCCACCATTTCGGAACGTCATTTCCCACAATTATTTCTCGAACTTTCGCCGCCCGAATTGATCATGATGGCTACGCAGGCGACTTACACGAGCATCTCTGCATTTTAAAAACATATATATATGATAAGATCAATAAAAGTATTGGACAACAAAATCAAATGACAGTCACGTTATAACAGCGGTGGAAGTGCAAAAGACCGTGTCAAAATTTCATTATTTTGGTGCTAAACGTGTGATCTCCACCTGGGGAAATTGTACTAATATGCCTACAGCTAATCTGATATAAGTTACACCCCAATGCACGAAATCAACTAAAACAGATTGTTTTTTCTTCAAATATATATATTACTGAATATAACATTTTCGACAATTTCCAATAGTCTCTACCATTTCGGAACGCCATTTCCCACAATTATTTCTCGAACTTACGCCGCACGAATTGATTATGTAGTGGCCAACGAGATCAAATGACAGCCACGTTATAACGGAGGTTAAAGTCCAAAAGATCGTGTTAAATTTCTTTTTTTTTTTGAGAGGGGCGTTAAACGTATCTAATTGTGATCTCCACCTGAAACATATTGTACAAACATATGCCTACAGCACACCTAATATAAGTTACAACCGATTGCACGAAATTAAATAAACTTAATTAACTACAATTGGTTGTTGCTTTTTAAAAATTTTATTATTATTATTATCATTATCATTATCATTATCATTATCATTATCATTATTATCATTATCATTATTATCATTATCATTATTATCATTATCATTATTATCATTATCATTATCATTATCATTATTATTATTATTATTATTATTATTATTATTATTTTTGACCATCGGCTTTTTGCACTTTGAATGAAGATAACCGCCCGTTGCGTTGCTCCAATGGGAGCGTGGTGAGGTGCTGCGCGGTGTCTGGGCTCACCTGCCCGCCTTGGTGATGATCATCTCGGTGCCGAGCGCGTGGAACTTGCGCCAGAGGTCGCGCGAGCACAGCTCCACGCGCAGGCGCGCACGCAGGCGCTCCAGCTCAGGCTCCTCCGCCCCCGCCGCCCCCGCCGCCGACTCCTCCGCGCCGCGCGGCTCAGACACCGCTACACCTGCGGACAAAAGAAGAAGAAAAAAATAAAAGAGTTCGTACCATTATCCGTTCACGGCGGACCGACTTAGGTGGCTCAGGGCATCAATTGAATCGTGTATTTCAGAAACTCGTCAAACGTCGAAATCTAAAGGATGCATTAGCGGCGGATTATTGTTCCAAGAGGATAGACATATCGTATAGTGCAAATTTATACGAAAAATATACATTTATCAACTGACTTAATAAATAAAAATTCTTTGAAATGAGAAAAATTGGCAGACTTTTCGTCAATTTTTCCTGTACCGAAACGGCAAACAGGAGCAGACGACCTCTGGAATTCTGAGGATCCAGATGTCGGCTTCGACCCTGCCGGTGTCGAAAAACCATTCGGGCATGAACTGGAACATCCGGATCTACAAAGTTGCATATCATATGTAATATAATTTAATGAGTTAATATTTTTAGTTTAGTAGTCCAAATTCCCTTCGTCTGTCAAATGTCTTAGGAAACCTGCTTGAGTATATACGTTTCACGGTTTCGAATTGCAATAATATCTACTATTGCTCTGCCACATTAATATTTGGTGGGTCACCAAATAGGTGGAGGAAAAGAATAATATTAATATTGATAATAAATAATTATTTTCATTATTATAAGAATAGTAATAATTATTATAGTAATTATTATTGATATTATTACTGTAATTATTATTATTATTATTATTATTATTATTATTATTATTATTATTATTATTATTATTATTAATATCTCACTAGCTACTTTTCAAAAACATTCATTGTTCAATAAACTGTTCGTGGAAATATACTTTGTCAATATACTTAGTGCAATTTGCATCTTCATGAATCACTCCTAACGAAAGGAAATGTATGCAGTCATTGGCCCCTTTCTACGCTTTGAAGAGAAACAAAGCTGATATTCTTACAAAAATATTGAGAATATTATTACAAGACAAAGACATTATTCTTACAATAATATTCTATCACATTGTGAAAGCGATATTTGGAAACTAGAGCAGTAAATTATATTCGCTTATCTTTTTTATCTGGGTAGGTCAGCATTACTACTAAACCTATGAAATAGGATGTGTTGTTGACAAGAGAGCATTATTATAGCCTTAACCCTTTGAAAATGCCACTATTGGTTATAAAACATGTTGAGAGGGCATTGAGCTGTTTACGGCGACAATTCTCTTATTGCTCCAGGACTTCATCTTGTGTCAATGAACAATGTTTAGAAATAACGAAGTGGCTAATAAGAGGTAACAATTTATTATTTTTATCAGTCTATCATTTTTATTATTTGAATGAATTATGTAATTACATTCGTCTACGGCTTAATTAGCGTTTCATTCAAAATTAGTACTACGATCAGATATTACCCAATCATGTAGTATCTGATGAGAAATGCAAGATGATGCTACCTACCGCTCTAATTTAATACCTCGTGAAATATACTCGTAGCAACGATACCTACAGTTTTTACTGTTCTTTGACGCAAATTAATAAAAATAAAACTGACATGATCGAGGTCATATTCTTTCGTTAGCAAAAGTCCAAATATTAAATGAATTATCAAGTGAATTACTCGAAAACTAACCCCAATTCATTTAATAATGTTCTTATGGTTCCCCTCTGCAACACTTCTAAGAAGAAACGCCACTTTATAATATTTCTTCCCTAAGAGATAACACAACAGAACGCTCTTTTCTCATCGTATTTGTGTTTGGCTTGATGGTAAGTAAGGTCTTCGAGCGATAGCCAATAACCCAATATAAGACACGATACGACAAACCCCAACAAGAGGTTCAACACAACGGAATATAACATCAGCTGCCTAAAATAAGTAACACCTCACACGCAAAAATAAGTAATTTGGGAAGTATAAGCATTTTTCATATGTTTATTAATTTAAAGATCTTCCAATTAATTAATGATCCGTGACCTCGTGATTACTTGATAGGTTTATTCCTTCAATTACTTCAACTTATTTAATGTAATGTATGTTATGTTGAATTTAATGCTACTTTGTTCTCTGTTATTATTTTTTCAAAAACCGCAAACCTTCGTTACCGCTCACTCGCTTAACACGAAGTGCGTCGTCAAACGAACAAAATTTGTATTCAGGTAACAAACGTAGTAATGAGAATAAATATAAAAACTGGATACTAAAATTTCTGTTACAAAAAAACAGATTATTTCAGTTCCTTGGAATTCGCTTTTGCGGGGGTTTACTGTATTAAATATACATGGTCATTTTGTTCAATTAAATGTTATTTCATTAAAAAAACTTGTCTTTTTTAAAAATCAGTTGAATTTCAATCAAAGGTTTGTTTTATTACAGAAAATAATGCACCTCTCTCGTAACAGTCGACGCTCGTAAATATATAGAATTATCTAGCGGATTCTCAATTACGATTGAATGTTTAATACTTATTCAGTAATTGAAGAATTTCTAGAAAAAGCCTGCAATGTTACCGTCACTTATTATAATGGATTGGTTTTAGAAAGTTCCGTGTCGCGAAATTTCATTGCAGTTGATTCCATAAGGCGACAAAAAAATGCTTATACATTGTAAATGATAAGGTTTTTTTTGAATTTTCAGATCGTATTTACTTGTCTCTGACAATACAAAACGATTTACATTTGAATGGGTGAAAACCAGAACAGTATAAATGACATGTTATAAATTCTGAGAAATCTGTTTATTTAAATGAATGTTACTGTAAAGTCGTGGTGCTTTGTTTCATCATTAAAAAACCGCGGTATTTCAATTATTCATTAAAACCGCGAAATACATTGCCCCTGAAATATAGCCCAAAATAAACACGTTCTCTCAGAATTTATAAAATGTCATTTATATCGTTCTGGTTTTCACCCGTTCATTTGGTAACGGACAGCATTTCGCGTTTCATAATGAGCCAAATGCGCGAATCTCGCGCATCGCGACCAGATCTGCCCGGCGCTGTTCCGGCTTGACTTGACGTCAGCATCGCACACTCCGCCCGCACAAAATGGCGCTCGCAAAGTGGAGCACGCCTCCCCCACGCGAGCGCCGTGTGTGAAGGCGCCGCGCTGCGGCACGCGCGGGGGCGCGCGGCGGGTGGCGGGGCGCTGCGCGGCGCTTTTGCGCGGCCGCCGCCCCCCGCCCCCCGCCGTCGTCATGTCTGCCGATCACAGGCCGCCGACGACATGCGCCTGCACTAGCAGACTTAAGCCTTGCCAGGTGCGCGCCCCCCCCGGCCCCTCCGCCCCGCCCCGCCGCCGCCCCCCCCCTTCCTACTTGCCGACTGAGAGGGGGGAGGCGCTACGAGAGAAAAAAAAAAGTGTATCGCGCGCGTGGGATGCTCTTTGAAGGGCTCTGTTCTGATTTTGGTCGACTGGTGTAGCCCGACATGTCACTCCAGCAGCCCACTCCAGGCAATTTCTTTCTGATGGGTGTTTTTTTGTTGAGTCAGCAAAGGGATGCGTGGTACTTGTAAATGGTTGCTTTCGAAAGCGGCACTGGGAGATGTGGCTCAGGGTATCAACTGATGTTACTGCAGTGTCTCTGACCGGGAGGTCATAGGTTCGAGAGCTGAAGCAGGATTTTCGAAACTAGCTTGTCAGCTAGATCAAATTCAATCGCTGTCTGCAGCAGAATTCTAGTGGCCGGCTGCTCTAAACGGTAGTTTTCCGTGGTTTCTCCTATCAACACCAGGCGAATGCCGGAGCAGTACCTTAACAAACGGGCGATGGACCGCGTGTGATATTTCCTACCTCTTCCTTGTCCTATTCTCACCTCTTACACACACTTACACTAATATGCACTACAATACCACACATGCTGGGAGGCCGGTCGGGAATTTAGAGGTTGTCGTGGCATGGGCGGTGCCCCGCTAGTGGGATATACCTGATTGGGAAAACCCCTCTACCCGACGGTAGTTTCTCGTTATATAGCGAGAAGAAATAACCTCCCCCTCCCGAGCAAAAAACTGACACTACACTTACGGGAATAATGAGCCTAGATGTTGACGCGACTGAAATCACTAACAATCAATTATTGAATCGGAAGTGGGTGAGCAGAAACAATCAAATTAGTGGTGCTGTAACATTACATACTTTCTCGCATTATTTCTAAATTTTCAATTTTCGAAAATTCAGAGAGACCAACGAAAATGAGACGTGCACCATTCTTTTAATCATCACTTGTTCAATCCTTGGACAGGAATTGCAGAAAATATTTCTGAATATTTTTGAAAATATTTTTGAATGATTGAATATTGCGATTTTTTTTCTGGATGTCCCTTGTGCATGTGGACTTTATAGTTCCAAGTTAATTTGTTTCTCAGAAAACTCATGAGTATTTCAGGCAATTTAATTGAAGCTTTTTGCATTAGGTGACTATGTTACAAGAATTCTAATTAATGTGCCCAATATGATTATTACAAATTGAAGGTTTTGAATAGTCCGATCCTTTTCGGATGGTTAGTTCTACGTATAAAGTATGTTCTTGAAAATATATCTTTATTTTCCAATAACGAGAGCATGTAACAGTAAGTAAATGAGTTTGTTAAACGAAATTTTTGAATGATGCGAAATTTTTGTTCGTTTGATCTTGAATATTTTTCTACCATCTCCTAAATTGTACAATGGAATTCTTCTTGAGAATAGTAGGTTCTTACATACATGTATTGTTTATAGTTATTAATTACAGTTTTCTAAATCTCGTAAAGCATTCAAAAATATCTAAGAAAGTAAATGATGCAAACATTTCTACTGGGAAGACTGCCTAACTTAGGGTGATAAATTGAAACATGACCGCAATGAAATGGTCTGCACAAGCGTCCATTTACCTATTCACTAATTGCAAAAACATATGGTCACACATGCACGTTAAACACTTGACATCCATTTATTAACACACGAATCTATGAATCTGCAATTTCCTTCTGGTTTTCCAACCCCACTTGTACA